CTGGCCAGGGAGGTATACCATCTTTTAGGAGTGAGAAGAGCAGAATGTAAGTGTGGTGGAGGTACGTGAGGCATTACGTAGAATGAAAGGGGGTAAAGCAGCTGGAACTGATGGGATCATGACAGAAATGTTAAAAGCAGGGGGGGATATAGTGTTGGAGCGGTTGGTACTTTTGTTTAATAAATGTATGAAAGAGGGGAAGGTACCTAGGGATTGGCGGAGAGCATGTATAGTCCCTTTATATAAAGGAAAAGGGGACAAAAGAGATTGTAAAAATTATAGAGGAATAAGTTTACTGAGTATACCAGGAAAAGTATACGGTAGGGTTATAGTGTAATTGAAAGAATTAGAGGCAAGACAGAATGTAGGATTGCGGATGAGCAGGGAGGCTTCAGAGTGGGTAGGGGATGTGTAGATCAAGTGTTTACATTGAAGCATATATGTGAACAGTATTTAGATAAAGGTAGGGAAGTTTTTATTGCATTTATGGATTTAGAAAAGGCATATGATAGTGGATAGAGGAGCAATGTGGCAGATGTTGCAAGTATATGGAATAGGTGGTAAGTTACTAAATGCTGTAAAGAGCTTTTATGAGGATAGTGAGGCTCAGGTTAGGGTATGTAGAAGAGAGGGAGAATACTTCCCAGTAAAAGTAGGTCTTAGACAGGGATGTGTAATGTCACCATGGTTGTTTAATATATTTATAGATGGGGTTGTAAAAGAAGTATATGCTAGGGTGTTTGGGAGAGGGGTGGGATTAAATTTTGGGGAATCAAATTCAAAATGGGAACTGACACAGTTACTTTTTGCTGATGATACTGTGCTTATGGGAGATTCTAAAGAAAAATTGCAAAGGTTAGTGGATGAGTTTGAGAATGTGTGTAAAGGTAGAAAGTTGAAAGTGAACATAGAAAAGAGTAAGGTGATGAGGGTATCAAATGATTTAGATAAAGAAAAATTGGATATCAAATTGGGGAGGAGGAGTATGGAAGAAGTGAATGTTTTCAGATACTTGGGAGTTGACGTGTCGGCGGATGGATTTATGAAGGATGAGGTTAATCATAGAATTGATGAGGGAAAAAAGGTGAGTGGTGCGTTGAGGTATATGTGGAGTCAAAAAACGTTATCTATGGAGGCAAAGAAGGGAATGTATGAAAGTATAGTAGTACCAACACTCTTATATGGATGTGAAGCTTGGGTGGTAAATGCAGCAGCGAGGAGACGGTTGGAGGCAGTGGAGATGTCCTGTCTAAGGGCAATGTGTGGTGTAAATATTATGCAGAAAATTTGGAGTATGGAAATTAGGAGAAGGTGTGGAGTTAATAAAAGCATTAGTCAGAGGGCAGAAGAGGGGTTGTTGAGGTGGTTTGGTCATTTAGAGAGAATGGATCAAAGTAGAATGTCATGGAAAGCATATAAATCTATAGGGGAAGGAAGGAGGGGTAGGGGTCGTCCTCGAAAGGGTTGGAGAGAGGGGGTAAAGGAGGTTTTGTGGGCAAGGGGCTTGGACTTCCAGCAAGCGTGCATGAACGTGTTAGATAGGAGTGAATGGAGACGAATGGTACTTGGGACCTGACGATCTGTTGGAGTGTGAGCAGGGCAATATTTAGTGAAGGGATTCAGGGAAACCGGTTATTTTCATATAGTCCGACTTGAGTCCTGGAAATGGGAAGTACAATGCCTGCACTTTAAAGGAGGGGTTTTGGATATTGGCAGTTTGGGGGGATATGTTGTGTATCTTTATACGTATATGCTTCTAAACTGTTGTATTCTGAGCACCTCTGCAAAAGCAGTGATAATGTGTGAATGTGGTGAAAGTGTTGAATGATGATGAAAGTATTTTCTTTTTGGGGATTTTCTTTCTTTTTTGGGTCACCCTGCCTCGGTGGGAGACGGCCGACTTGTTGAAAAAAAAATATATATACATGTATATAATATATATATATATATATATTATATATATATATATATATATATATATATATATTATATATATAATATATATATATATATATATATATATATATATATTATATATATATATATATATATATATATATATATATATATATTATATATATATATATATATATATATATATATATAATATATATATATATATATATATATATATATAAATAATCACACACACACACACACACACACACACACACCAATAACACTGCGACTAGCCGAGGACTCGAACCCATGTCACTTTGGCTCGCCTCATGGCGAGCGAAAATCACATGACGCTCTAACTCACAGGACCACGAAATCCTTCAAGAATCATACAGCTAGCAGAGCTAGGTGTGTTACCGTGATCCAAGGACATACGGACATACCGTATGTCCTAGGATCATGGTAACATACCTAGCTACTTTGAGCTCAATTTCAAGCTATTTTCAATACTAAAACCAGCCAAAATCATCTATATTTCTGTAATATATCTTCCATTCTATCAAACAAGACCGAGAAACTATGAATACAACTGTAAAAACCATACGAAAATACAGCTCAAAGTTAGTTTTATTCCCAAAACACGGTCGCATTTTTTTTTTTCTCGTTCACTGCGTGTTGAAGGATTTGTTTTATGTGGTGCACACTTACCACATACATGCGTTCTGTAATATCTAGGCCAAAATTTACCGCTCACAGCTTATCTGAGTGAGCTGAGCTCATTATGTAGATCTACGGCTTGGACCCTCAGAGGGTTAAGGTAATGTCTAAGCACATATTTATTGTATGGCTTTGAATCGCAGTATTAATATGTTTTAATTGTTGGTGAGTATTGCTTGTCATGTGCCTGACTTGACTTTGTTGTATGCTTATTGTATTACTGGCCTTGATAGTGCACTTGCATGTTTATTGCTTGTTATTAGATAAATTGCACGATAATTTGTAGAATATTGTTAATTATACATACATGTATGTGATTCTCATTACTTTTGAAATGAAGTACAATAAATTCTTAATTTTTCAAGGAATATGGTATAAATAAAATTATTTATAATATAGTTTAAGAAAAATTATTATTGTTTATGATGAACTTTACTTTTTTTCCATATGATTTCTTTACAAATGCCTATGCAAAAATAAACTGAGTTATGTATTTTTTAAGTTTATACTTGACAATTAGTCTAGTGTACTGTTATGTTTATCATGAAATATTTTGAAAGTGGCTTTTCCCAGAAAACTTAAGTTGACACAATATATTCTCTATGGTTAGAACTTTGCCAGTTATTTCCGAAAATAATTAAGTCACACACAGGGATCTTATAAAGCAGACACACTCATCACATGTTTTTTTCCCTATACTCACTATAAAAATTGTACTCCAGCAGTATGATAAAGTTGTATTATAGTTGCTAGAGAGACCCGCAGTATTTGATAAAGCCTGTAGAGCAGATTTTATCAGGTCGTCTAATAATCAGACATGGTGGTAGGACACTATACGCAGGAGAGGAGAACATAGGCATAATATAATCCGATATTGAATCTGGTATACTGCCAAGAACTACTCATTACTGCCAACACTACTTGACATGCTGCTAGTGTATCTAGTTCTACCTAACCTATTGTGGGCTAGTGGGCCTGCTGCAATACTTCTCTAGTATTTACTTGTTTTAAACCTGATTATTTTCCCTCACCTACTTATAAATTGTGCTACTATCAGGGATGATCTATCAGACTTCATAAAGCCTGCTGTGCTGGCAAAGAGTAGCCTTCATGAAGCTTCCAACTGCTATTGTTGGTGTCTTTTTTCTGTCTCATAAACACGCAAGATTTCAGGTACGTCTTGCTACCTCTACTTACACTTGGGTCGTACTACACATGCATGTACAAGCATATATATACACATCCCTCTGGGTTTTCTTCTATTTTCTTACTTGCTCATGTTTATTTACTCTTATCTCCATGGGGAAGTGGAACAGAATTCTTCCTCCGTAAGCCATGTGTGCCGTAAGAGGCGACTATAATGTCCGGAGCTAAGGAGCTAGTAACCCCTTCTCCTGTATACATTACTGAAGTTAAAAAGAGAAACTTTTGTTTTTCATTTTGGGCCACCCTGCTTCAGTGGGATATGGCCGGTGGATTGAAAGAAAGAAAAGAATAATAATAATCTTTATTTCTATAAGTACATGTACAAGATATACAGGCCTAGCTGACATCAATGACATACTGTACTACTTTATAGAAAGCCCCTTGTTATGCATAGCATTCCAGGTAAATTAGGTCAGTTTTGTCTCAGTATGTGACCCACACCAGTTGACTAACACCCAGGTACCTATTTTACTGATGGGTTAACATGGACACCAGGTGCCTTGAGGAAACACATCCTGATGTTTCTTGCCATAAAGGGGAATCGACCCCCCACGGACCTCAGTGTGTGAGCTGAGTGCACTGGTGATTGAGCTATGGGACACCTATCCCATTTTATGAAATGTATTCTGTTTGCTGATGACATTGGCATTCCTGATTTTTTACTGTGCTATTTATTCATATTCATATCGGTGTGTTGCTGAACTTAGTACTCAACACTTCCTTGGATCACTTAGCTTTTTTTCCATATTTTTTAACTTCTCTTATTTCTTCTGTATTTACTTGACTTTTGCAGTGTGATGTGACTTGTCATTCTGCAGTGCACTACATGTTCCAAAATTTTCCAACTAGCGCACTTAGTTTTGCTGTTTAGTTTTTATTTCTTTACTTTTCACTTAAAATGTGTACTACTCTCACCTTTTATTTGCCTTCTGCTATGGTGAGATTTTTTTTAATTAAAGCAAAGTCATCATAGTATATCACTTGTAACTGGAATACTGCAGACATTTTTCACTGGCATTTCTTGCTCTTAGTTCATCATAAATTTGTTGTTTCTTACGTTTCTCACAAAACCTTATTTGTGATAGATACAGTGAACTATGCTTAAGATGAATATTTGTACATGTATATTCATTAGTCTTTGAAATTTAAGTAATTCTAAATTGTTTTTCTTTCGTCAGGGTACAAGCGTGTTGTCACCAGTTGTGCCATTGTTTTTTATAGTGGCTCCTTCAATCTTGATAGCCTGGAAAAGTCCAATTGGCCTTTATCTAAAAAATCCAACCATATATCTCTTAACCTTTGGGTGTGTATCAGCACGAGTCACCAATAGGCTAGTTGTAAGTATAACTGTATAACTAAAGACTTTTGTTTGTGATTCTTATCTGTTTTACCTGTATGTTATGACACCTCATCAGTAAATAGAAATTTATACTGAATTGTACTACACATTACTTTATCTAAATGTACTGTACTATATAGCACCTTCAAATTCTTTTGAGAAATTCCATCATGGCACTTTCACAAGGCCTCTTGACAATTTTTTTTTCTTTTCTTTACCTCGACAGACTTGCCAAGGCAGGGTAACCACCAAAGGAGACAATACATACACCATCAGTCATTGTCTTTACAGTAGTGTACTAACATCATCCCTCCTTCAGAATCTAGGCACTTTTTCCCATTTCTAGGACAAATCCAGCTAACCAGTTTAACTTGAATCCAACAGCACTTCTATTAAAAGCCACTTGTCTCCATTCATTCCTATCTTAACACGCTTACACAATCTTTATGGATCCTGTAGCCCCTAAAACCATGATTTCTTCACTAAAGCTAATTTGATACATCATTTATGACCACCTCTCCTCTAGTTTCTGCTGATGCCCTGCTGACTTTAAGGGCATGAAGCAGATGCTTTGATTCAGTACATATATGGAAAGACATTGAATTAAGCTCTTGAAAGTATAACTAAAATCACACCCGAACAAAAGCAAAAAAGTAAACTACATCTACCTGGACACAAAGATGGTGTATGGAAGCTATGGGATATAAGGTTTTATATAAAATATTTGATTTTTTTTGTAGGAAGTACAGTGCCTGCACTCTGAAGGAAGGATAGTGGTGGTGCAGCTTGGAGGGCAATCTGAATTGTGATGTGAGAATGCTCCTGGCAGGATAACAATTGAATGAGTCACAATAAGTGTTTTTTTTTTTTTTGGGGGTGGGGGGTGGGGAGGGGGCAGGGTCACTTGACCTAAGCGGGAGGTGGTCAGCAATGGGCTAGTAACCCCTTCTCCTGTAGACATTTACTAAAAAAGAGAAGAAGAAAAACTTTATAAAACTGGGATGCTTAAATGTGTGTGGATGTAGTGCGGATGACAAGAAACAGATGATTGCTGATGTTATGAATGAAAAGAAGTTGGATGTCCTGGCCCTAAGCGAAACAAAGCTGAAGGGGGTAGGGGAGTTTCGGTGGGGGGAAATAAATGGGATTAAATCTGGAGTATCTGAGAGAGTTAGAGCAAAGGAAGGGGTAGCAGTAATGTTGAATGATCAGTTATGGAAGGAGAAACGAGAATATGAATGTGTAAATTCAAGAATTATGTGGATTAAAGTAAAGTAAAGTAAAAAGAGAGCAAATGAGAGAGTGGGTGAGATGTTATCAACAAATTTTGTTGAAAATAAGAAAAAGTTTTGGAGTGAGATTAACAAGTTAAGAAAGCCTAGAGAACAAATGGATTTGTCAGTTAAAAATAGGAGAGGAGAGTTATTAAATGGAGAGTTAGAGGTTTTGGGAAGATGGAGGGAATATTTTGAGGAATTGTTAAATGTTGATGAAGAAAGGGAAGCTGTGATTTCGTGTATAGGGCAAGGAGGAACAACATCTTGTAGGAGTGAGGAAGAGCCAGTTGTGAGTGTGGGGGAAGTTCGTGAGGCAGTAGGTAAAATGAAAGGGGGTAAGGCAGCCGGGATTGATGGGATATAGATAGAAATGTTAAAAGCAGGTGGGGATATAGTTTTGGAGTGGTTGGTGCAATTATTTAATAAATGTATGGAAGAGGGTAAGGTACCTAGGGATTGGCAGAGAGCATGCATAGTTCCTTTGTATAAAGACAAAGCAGATAAAAGAGAGTGCAAAAATTATAGGGGGATAAGTCTGTTGAGTATACCTGGCAAAGTGTATGGTAGAGTTATTATTGAAAGAATTAAGAGTAAGACGGAGAATAGGATAGCAGATGAACAAGGAGGCTTTAGGAAAGGTAGGGGGTGTGTGGACCAGGTGTTTACAGTGAAACATATAAGTGAACAGTATTTAGATAAGGCTAAAGAGGTCTTTGTGGCATTTATGGATTTGGAAAAGGCGTATGACAGGGTGGATAGGGGGGCAATGTAGCAGATGTTGCAGGTGTATGGTGTAGGAGGTAGGTTACTGAATGCAGTGAAGAGTTTTTACGAGGATAGTGAGGCTCAAGTTAGAGTATGTAGGAAAGAGGGAAATTATTTCCCAGTAAAAGTAGGCCTTAGACAAGGATGTGTGATGTCACCGTGGTTGTTTAATATATTTATAGATGGGGTTGTAAGAGAAGTAAATGCAAGGGGTCTTGGCAAGAGGCGTGGAGTTAAAAGATAAAGAATCACACATAAATGGGAGTTGTCACAGTTGCTCTTTGCTGATGACACTGTGCTCTTGGGAGATTCTGAAGAGAAGTTGCAGAGATTGGTGGATGAATTTGGTAGGGTGTGCAAAAGAAGAAAATTGAAAGTGAATACAGGAAAGAGTAAGGTTATGAGGATAACAAAAAGATTAGATGATGAAAGATTGGATATCAGATTGAGGGAGAGAGTATGGAGGAGGTGAATGTATTCAGATATTTGGGAGTGGACGTGTCAGCGGATGGGTCTATGAAAGATGAGGTGAATCATAGAATTGATGAGGGGAAAAGGGTGAGTGGTGCACTTAGGAGACTGTGGAGACAAAGAACTTTGTCCTTGGAGGCAAAGAGGGGAATGTATGAGAGTATAGTTTTACCAACGCTCTTATATGGGTGTGAAGCATGGGTTATGAATGTTGCAGCGAGGAGAAGGCTGGAGGCAGTGGAGATGTCATGTCTGAGAGCAATGTGTGGTGTGAATATAATGCAGAGAATTCGTAGTTTGGAAGTTAGGAGGAGGTGCGGGATTACCAAAACTGTTGTCCAGAGGGCTGAGGAAGGGTTGTTGAGGTGGTTCGGACATGTGGAGAGAATGGAGCGAAACAGAATAACTTCAAGAGTGTATCAGTCTGTAGTGGAAGGAAGGCGGGGTAGGGTCGGCCTAGGAAAGGTTGGAGGGAGGGGGTAAAGGAGGTTTTGTGTGCGAGGGGCTTGGACTTCCAGCAGGCATGCGTGAGCGTGTTTGGTAGGAGTGAATGGAGACAAATGGTTTTTAATACTTGACGTGCTGTTGGAGTGTGAGCAAAGTAACATTTATGAAGGGGTTCAGGGAAACCGGCAGGCCAGACTTGAGTCCTGGAGATGGGAAGTACAGTGCCTGCACTCTGAAGGAGGGGTGTTAATGTTGCAGTTTAAAAACTGTAGTGTAAAGCACCCTTCTGGCAAGACAGTGATGGAGTGAATGATGGTGAAAGTTTTTCTTTTTCGGGCCACCCTGCCTTGGTGGGAATCGGCCAGTGTGATAATAAATAAATAAATAACTTTTTTGTTGTCTCCACAAAAGTGACTTCCGACATTTTGGAACTTGGTAGTGCATGTGATCTTTTTGTTTTGTTTAACTTAGGGATCATTTTTATGTACAGTATTCACATATCTCTTCATAGATATCATAAACCAAGTTGTTGTGGTGTGATTAAAACATGCCTAACACAACTATTAGATCATAACAAAGTATGCAAAGGATTACAGTAGGGAAGCTAAATTATAATGAAAATAAAACTGTAGAAAAATAATAATAATTTTTTTTTAGGTTGCTCATATGACAAAAAGTGAGATGGCATACAGTGATGCATCTCTTCTGGGTCCTGGTGCCCTCTTCCTCAACCAGTACTTTAATTGTCCCATCCCAGAGACAATTCTACTATATATTGTTTGTGTAAGTTGCACTTTTACTTTTGACTGTTCATGTGCTATTGGAGGTGGGGCATGTCATGATAGCCATTGTTTAAATGTTCATGGTGTCTTTTTGCCTGCAGAACTCCCATACCATAACAAAAAAATGCAGTAATTAACCCTTTAACTGTCAAACCATAGTCTACACAATACTGCTAGCACTCCAGACATAGATTAGTGCACTATTTTTCCTGCATTTAAATTTGGCAACAGAGGCCTGATAAGCTGTGGCAGCATAGAATGGCTCTTAACACTCAGTGTGTGCTGTACTAAAAAAATCTGGGATCACTTAATACTTTGTGGGAGAACCAGTTCAATTGAGCACCAGCTAGAGCAGATAGCTCGGCAAACCCCAGGGATTCACTAATGCCACATCATATTAATATTCCTTTTTCGAGGAAAGTGATGCTGGCCCCAAGATGGATGTGGCCACAAGTGGTCAAGGAAATATCAAAAACCTCATTAATAACCCATATGCAACATTTGTGCCACATTCTTTCAGTTTTGATACCACTGGTAGTGGCATCCTGCCAGAATGTCCTATCACCGATGCCCTGGGTCTTAGTAGAAAGAGAGAGAGAGAGAGAATTCTGCAACATGTAGTAACGTGTTTAGCTGGCTGGCTTGCCCTGGTTGGCTCTGTCTCTGTCTCAGAGAGAGCCACTCATGAATCTAATGATCAAGTAGATGAACATGTATTACACATGTTGCAGAAGTCATGTCTGCACAAGTGGAAAGACACAGCTGTGGCCAAAATGTGTATTACTTTGCCACAGTCATGCTTATGCTTCAAATTTACAAGCACAGTATAGCACTTTGTCTGATTTTTTGGGGTTATCATAGATAATTTACACTGTATGATAACTACTTTGTGTAGCTCTGCCTAAATGAACTACCTAGTCTTTGATTCTGTTCAAGGGACGAATGTCCTTAAGCAATCTGTACCAAGCAAACATAATTGCTTGAAGGGCAGGTGTCCCTTGAACAAAATCAAGGACTTAAGTAGGTTTATTTAGGCACAGGTACACATACATAATTATCATTGTAGTAATTACCTAGGATAACCCAAAAAAATTCATGTATCTTACATTTTATAATCATTATTTATAATCTTTATCTTGTATAATGGTAGGTCTCTGACCTACCATTATACAACTTAGGATCATCTGCATCTGTGATCAGGGCACTTTGGCATTAATTAATGATTGCAACTGCTGGTCATTGCAAATACTGTATTCAAAAAATTATTGTAACTAAATTGTTTTTCTTGGCTTTTTTTCTTCTTCTTTACTAAATGCATTGATAGTTTGTATATGTTCATTTTCTGCATGTGTGGAGAGTTTACATTTATTTAGGAGAGATGGGCACAAGGTATTCACTTCTAATGACCCTTTCAAGTTTAGCTCTCAAATTGATTATAATGATATTCACCTTTAGTGCCTGTCAGTGGATGGCAGGCATATTAGAACATAGAGGTGGAATGCCAAGGAAGTGTGGGGGGTTGCCAGGGAGCCTGTGAAGGGAAGGGAGGTAAATATGCCCCAGCCCTGGGCTGGTGACTACTGGGAAGGACCTGAGGATGATAGGTATTCCAGAGGTCAAGTGGGTTACCAGGGAGCAAGGCAGAAGACCCCCAACCCCAGGCTGGGGTCTTCTACCATGTTTTTCCTCTAAACTATCTTACACCCTTTGCTCTCACCTCTTCCCCCATTAGTGTTACTGTCTTAGTGACAGAAGGAAAGGACCCCCTTCCATGCATATAATTTGTCAGCATATTTGTATGATTATCAGCTATTTAAGATAAAATTTAAATTTAGTTGTGTGTGTTGCCTATTTTTATTTTTTTTTTTTTTTTATTTTTTTTTTCAACAAGTCGGCCGTCTCCCACCAAGGCAGGGTGACCCAAAAAAGAAAGAAAATCCCCAAAAAGAAAATACTTTCATCATCATTCAACACTTTCACCACACTCACACATTATCACTGTTTTTGCAGAGGTGCTCAGAATACAACAGTCTAGAAGCATATACATATAAAAATACACAACATATCCCTCCAAACTGCCCTCACTAAATATTACCCTGCTCACACTCTAACAGATCGTCAGGTCCCAAGTACCTTTTGTCCCCATTCACTCCTATCTAACACGCTCGCGCACGCTTGCTGGAAGTCCAAGCCCCTCGCCCATGAAACCTCCTTTACCCCCTCTCTCCAACCTTTTCGAGGACGACCCCTACCCCGCCTTCCTTCCCCTATAGATTTATATGCTTTCCATGTCATTCTACTTTGATCCATTCTCTCTAAATGACCAAACCACCTCAACAACCCCTCTTCACCCTCTGACTAATACTTTTATTAACTCCACACCTTTTCCTAATTTCCACACTCTTAATTTTCTGCATAATATTTACACCACACATTGCCCTTAGACAGGACATCTCCACTGCCTCCAACCGTCTCCTCGCTGCTGCATTTACCACCCAAGCTTCACACCCATATAAGAGTGTTGGTACTACTATACTTTCATACATTCCCTTCTTTGCCTCCATAGATAATGTTTTTTGACTCCACATATACCTCAATGCACCACTCACCTTTTTTCCCTCATCAATTCTATGATTAACCTCATCCTTCATAAATCCATCCGCCGACACGTCAACTCCCAAGTATCTGAAAACATTCACTTCTTCCATACTCCTCCTCCCCAATTTGATATCCAATTTTTCTTTATCTAAATCATTTGATACCCTCATCACCTTACTCTTTTCTATGTTCACTTTCAACTTTCTACCTTTACACACATTCCCAAACTCATCCACTAACCTTTGCAATTTTTCTTTAGAATCTCCCATAAGCACAGTATCATCAGCAAAAAGTAACTGTGTCAATTCCCATTTTGAATTTGATTCCCCAAAATTTAATCCCACCCCTCTCCCGAACACCCTAGCATTCACTTCCTTTACAACCCCATCTATAAATTTTTATTATATTAATTTAATTCTTTCCACACACAACATATGTACAACTAGTTTTTGAGCTGCAGCTTACAATTGAAGTTTGAAATATTGAGCTTTTAAGGGCCTTGACCAATGTCATTTCCCCAGTTCTGTTACCAATAAATATTAATCATTATTGCTTTTGTTAGAGTTTAGTTTAAAATTAACTATGTTGATGCATTTTTAGACTTGAGATGATAATGTGCAGCAGTGTTCAGAAGATGCCTATCTTGTTCTTAACAAAAACATGTTCTTTATTTAATTTCTATTTCACATTACCATACTTTAACTCATTGTTTCTTTGTTTAACAGGTATATGTGATATATGACCTTGTCAAGTATTGCCGAGAAGTTTGTTTGGAAATTTGCGATCACTTAAATATTATGCTGTTTACTATTGTTCCAAAAAATCAGTCGGGAGTAAAAACTCCCACAGTGGAGAAAAACGGCAGTTCGTCAAAATATTCGACACGCAGTAAGAGTAAGGTGAAAAATAATTAAGCTTTATATTGTAGTAATTATATAAATAAATCTTTAAATAGCTGAAGGCTAGGAATTGTTATGTAGGGAAAATTGTATTTTTATTACTTGTTTTATGTTGGTTAGTGTCCTGTTTCTGTCCTCCAACCTTTTCAGTGTTATCATATGTCTAGATTTAGCATTTTGTGCATTATTGAAGCCGGATTGAATTATTATGTGGTATTAGTTACTGTAGCAACAGTAACAAAACATCAGTGGAATTACTTTTAATATAATCTTTTTTAAAGCTTTACATCTGAATGAATATAAACAGTCATTCCTGAGCATAACTGTTTATTTCCTTCATAAACAAAAGATAGCCTCTTCCTGTTGGTTGTGAGGGCTTATTGCCCCTGCAGACCCGTCCCTGACCAGGCCTGCTGGTTGATGACCTGATCATTCAGGTTATTGGTGCTGACAGGATGCAGTCTAACAAGCACCACGACTTGACTGATTAGGAACTGCCTGAAGGAACTTTTCAAGTTCCTTAACAAAGACAGGGTAATTTCCCTTATGTTTGAGTTATTTACTCTAAAGGTAATTTAAGGAGTTAATCACACATTGGGGGATTTTGCAAAGTTATGTTGAGGACACTGCAGGGTATGGAATTTTGGATGCCTGGTGATGCAGAGTAATCATCAGATTGAGTGCTAAATTATAACTTTTTTTTTTGTATATCCTTAATACTACATTTCATTATGTAATAGTGTATTTCTAAATACAATGTGCTATGCAATGCCCATTTCAGTTTTTTTTAATTAGGTAGATATTTCCTTCAACTGTGGAGGAATGCACTTACACCTTTTTGGATATAATTTGTTATTGTATAATAAACTGTCAGGTGGGTTATGTAAAGGATGGTGCATTATACTTTTTTTTTTTTTTTTTTTTTTTTTTTTTTTTTTGCCATGTGGCATGTGGCCTTGTGACCTGATCTTGAGGGCAGAATTTGCACCAGTTTCATCTGTTCAAAATGTGTGTGGTTAATGTAAATATGATTCCAGAAAATAAATTTGACACCTTTTTCTGTGTTTAGGGTTATTCTTTGTGTACTGATGGAAAAGTAAATACCAATAATAGAAGCAAAGTTGGAATTAGATCTTAGTGAAAAATGTGTTGCATTGCAATTCATGGGAAAGCAGCTTAAGACATTTTACTCTACTGTGAAATAAATTTGCATATGCAAAGTGCTAATGCTTCAGCAATATAAAAATCAAGTTCTAAAATGTATTTCTTATTTGCTGTTTTTTTTTTTCTTTAATTTTTAAAATGTAGTTTATTTGCAAATTAAAAAAAAAAAATAGCCAAAATACTTTGCTAAGACAGTACTAGAAATTTGCAACTTGTAATACAGATACCATTAAAACGTTGTTTTACAACTTGCCAGTTACGTTATTCATTTGTACCGGATACATTGTTTATGAAATAGTTTAAAATTTTGCCATTTGTTGATCTATGCATTTATCCATGTAATGTGTGTATAAATCTTACTCTGCAGGAACAGAAGTAAATTGCCTAATTTTTGTAGATGTTTTATAACTTGCACATAAAATATATTAAATTTTTCCTGTGTTTTAAAAGGAGAACATTATACGGGTGCTGCAATCGACAAAATAGTTTGCATTTAGAAATGAAAATACTAAATCATGAGGAAAGGTTATGTTAAATATTTTTAAAAGTGCAAGTTGAACATTAAATTAATAAAAGGATCAGATATTTAGATCTATTGAGTAAATATGTAAAGCATTTAACATAGGTGGGGGTTGTAAAAAAAAAAAAAAGTGGATGATGAAAGTGTTCGGGAGGTGTAAAATTAGAGAAAATGATGAATCTGATACATTGTAGGAGTTGTTACAGTTGTTCTTTGCTTATGACAGTTCTTTTGGGAGATTATAAAGATAATTGCAAAGGTTAGTTCATGAATTTAGGAGTGTGTAAAAGATCTACAAGAAGAAAATAAGAAATGAACATAGGAAAGAGCAAAGTAATGAATAAAAGTCTAGGCAATGAAAGAATGGTTATCAGATTGGAGGGAATATGAAAGAAGTGGATTATTTTGCCATTTGAGATTAAACATGTTGGCAGATGGGTTTATGAAAAACACAATGAACTGAGGTAAAAAGAAGTAATTTACCCGAGTACAGTAGTACCAACTCGTTTATATGGGGAGGGAGTATGGAGGAAGTAAATGTGGTGAAACATTTGGGAGTGGACTTGACAGCAAATAGTTGTATGAGAGGTGAGGTGAACCGTTCAATTGCCAAAGAAAAAGGTGCCTTGGGGCATCTGTGGAGACAACTATCCAAAAAAAAAAAAAAAAAAAATGTACTTGAGTATAGTGGTATCAGCACTGTTAGAAAGGTCTGCAACATGGGTTTTGAATGTTGCTGTGAGGAGGAGGCTGGAGGCATTAGAGATGTGTTTGAAGGCAATGTGTGATGTAAATATTTTGCAGAGAATTTGGATTTTGAGATCGAGGTGGTGTGGAATTATGAGAAATATTTTTCAGAGAGCTAAGGAGAGGTTGAGGTGGTTTAGACACCGAGAGAGGATGACTAGGAAAGCATATAAATCTGGGGTGAAGGGGAGGGGAGTAGGGGTCATTATAGGAAAGGTTGGAGGAAGGGGGTAAAAAAAGTTTTTTGTACTAGATAGAGGCTTGGGCATCCAACAGGCATGTGTGAGTATGTTAGAAGTGAGTGAAGACTATGTAGTTTTTATGATTTGACAATGTTGGAGTGTGAGCAAGACAGCATTTATGAAGGATTCAGAAAAGCCAGTTAGCTGGGTTAGAGTCCTGGAGGTGGAAAGTGCAGTGCCTGCACTGTTTCTCAGGAGGAGGGTTGGCAGTGTTGCAATTTGGAGGGTCATCTGAACTGTGATGTTGGTACCCTTCTGTTAAGACAGTGATTGAAGTAGTGACACTGTTGTTCCCCTACCTCAGTGGGGAACAGAAGTGTTAAAGTATCGTTTATATCAGTGTAAGACATTGGCTTGAACATTTCTGTAAGGAGGCAGCTAGAGGCAGTGGAGATGTGATTTACAAGAGCTGTATATGGTGTGCTGTATGACCCTAGTGGGTTTAGCACTTCCTTTTTATTATAATAGTGTATGTGGTGTGATTATCATGCATAGAAATTAGAAAATTGTACTTGCCTATATGTTGGGTCACTGAGATGTATAATTCAGAGGGGCTCAGGAGAGTGTTGAGGTGGTGTGGATATTTGGAAAGGATGAAAAGGGTGTATAAATTTGGAGTGGAAGAAAGGAGTCTTTAACTTCCTGGAAGTCCTAAATCTGTAAAATCTCATCACCCTAATGTACACCATCATAGTACTTTCCCTACTAGCATGTTGCTATGCAGTGGATTAGCATGACCTGGTAGTAATCTGCATTGTAACATGAAAATTTTAAGATGCCAACAAATCTAAACAAACAAATCACATTTTGTGATGGTTTACCTTCCGGTTTCCTACAATATGCCATCAATTTGCCTTTGTCCACTTGTTGCACTTCACCAAGATGCCTTTGAGAGGGCCTAAGCAGCCAGTGGTTGTTAAAAAGTGTATAAGCCATATTAAGATACCTTTAAATTAATATACTGTGTTGTCTCATAATTGTATTTACAAAGTTATGCCCTTTGAGAGGGGTCCACACTGATGGGGGCTCTTGATCTAAAGAATTGAGTCTTGTCTTCTTCCTCAGATCAAATCTAAATATCAACCCCTCACAACAACAACAACCCTTCCTCTCCATTTAGCCTCATTAGTGGGGAAATTTTCCCAACTAATGAAGCTAAATGTAATGTAGCTCCCAGGAGTGTTGTGATTGTTGCTCCGCTTAATAGAAATTATCTTTGGGCAGGACCCCTCCATCCCTGAAAAGAGGTACCTCGATCCTATTAAGAAGCTCTTCTTCCAGGATATTAAAGGTATCTCCTTGGATTAAACCAAATTTCTTTCCATTCCCCTCAGGTGCTCTGATCAATATGGGTTTTACACTCCCCTAGGAATGTAATAATTTTTTGGGCATGTCCAGGTATACTCTAAGTGACCCCCTTGCTCTACTGCCCCTACTTTACCTTCCCTTCTTGCTGATAGACCCTCCTTTAACCCAGACTTTCTCATTGACTTTGTCAGTAACTGATTTACTGCACAAACTGATGATGATGCCCCTAGTGCTCCTCACAGCTTTTTCTACCTCAATTTCTTACTACCCTCTACCCCTGCACTATCCACTGCCCTGCTGCACTCTGACCTAATAATCATCCCTCTCCCTCTTGCTACCCAATACCCCTGCATCCTTCCCTGCCCGGCAGCGCTGTATGACCCTTGTAGGTTTAGCGCTTATTTTATTATAATAGTAATCTAGGTGACCCCTCCAGTGAGACAAGGTGGCTATTTGGCAGGAAGTATTACTGGAGGTAACCTGTGGATTCAAGGGTGGCAACTGAAGATGACATTCTGGGTCACCAACCGCCATTAGCCGAGACAGCATAAAGGTTAGTGCTCTTGTCTTATCGGGTAGTTTTGCTAAGCCTAGCTCAGTCGATTCTGGATAATAATTTAATCAAATTAAATCCAAAAGGGTCATAGGGTATTGCAGGGAGGGATGTGCTAAAAGAGGAATATGTAGAGGTTAGGAGGGAGTGATGGGTAGGAGTTAGTGAGGGTAGGGGAGAGAGTGGGAGGTAAAGTAATATCAGTTTTTGCATTAAATTACTTCCTCAAAAAGTCTGAGTGCATCCAGTGTGGGGCTGTGAGTAAGAGCAAGTGTGGCAGAGATTGAAGTGAATTCTGCATGCCTCCTGACTGACAAGACAATCTATTAAGATATGGCAGTGCTGTGTGACCCTTGTGGGTTTAGCACTTGATTACCATATATCTTTAAAATATTATCATAGAGTTATTATTGAAAGAATTAAGAGTAAGACGGAGAATAGGATAGCAGATGAACAAGGAGGCTTTAGGAAAGGTAGGGGGTGTGTGGACCAGGTGTTTACAGTGAAACATATAAGTGAACAGTATTTAGATAAGGCTAAAGAGGTTTTTGTGGCATTTATGGATTTGGAAAAGGCGTATGACAGGGTGGATAGGGGAGAAATGTGGCAGATGTTGCAAGTGTATGGTGTAGGAGGTAGGTTACTGAAAGCAGTGAAGAGTTTTTACGAGGATAGTGAGGCTCAAGTTAGAGTATGTAGGAAAGAGGGAAATTATTTCCCAGTAAAAGTAGGCCTTAGACAAGGATGTGTGATGTCACCGTGGTTGTTTAATATATTTATAGATGGGGTTGTAAGAGAAGTAAATGCAAGGGTCTTGGCAAGAGGCGTGGAGTTAAAAGATAAAGAATCACACACAAAGTGGGAGTTGTCACAGCTGCTCTTTGCTGATGACACTGTGCTCTTGGGAGATTCTGAAGAGAAGTTGCAGAGATTGGTGGATGAATTTGATAGGGTGTGCAAAAGAAGAAAATTAAAGGTGAATACAGGAAAGAGTAAGGTTATGAGGATAACAAAAAGATTAGGTGATGAAAGATTGAATATCAGATTGGAGGGAGAGAGTATGGAGGAGGTGAATGTATTCAGATATTTGGGAGTGGACGTGTCAGCGGATGGGTCTATGAAAGATGAGGTGAATCATAGAATTGATGAGGGGAAAAGAGTGAGTGGTGCACTTAGGAGTCTGTGGAGACAAAGAACTTTGTCCTTGGAGGCAAAGAACTTTGTCCTTGGAGGCAAAGAGGGGAATGTATGAGAGTATAGTTTTACCAACGCTCTTATATGGGTGTGAAGCATGGGTGATGAATGTTGCAGCGAGAAGAAGGCTGGAGGCAGTGGAGATGTCATGTCTGAGGGCAATGTGTGGTGCTAATATAATGCAGAGAATTCGTAGTTTGGAAGTTAGGAGGAGGTGCGGGATTACCAAAACTGTTGTCCAGAGGGCTGAGGAAGGGTTGAGGTGGTTCGGACATGTAGAGAGAATGGAGCGAAACAGAATGACTTCAAGAGTGTCAGTCTGTAGTGGAAGGAAGGCGGGGTAGGGGTCGGCCTAGGAAAGGTTGGAGAGAGGGGGTAAAGGAGGTTTTGTGTGCGAGGGGCTTGGACTTCAAGCAGGCATGCGTGAGCGTGTTTGATAGGAGTGAATGGAGACAAATGGTTTTTAATACTTGACGTGCTGTTGGAGTGTGAGCAAAGTAACATTTATGAAGGGGTTCAGGGAAACCGGCAGGCCGGACTTGAGTCCTGGAGATGGGAAGTACAGTGGCCTGGTGGCTAAAGCTCCCGCTTTACACACGGAGGGCCCGGGTTCGATTCCCGGCGGGTGGAAACATTTCGACACGTTTCCTCACACCTATCGTCCTGTTCACCTAGCAGCAAATAGGTACCTGGGTGTTAGTCGACTGGTGTGGGTCGCATCCTGGGGGACAAGATTAAGGACCCCAATGGAAATAAGTTAGACAGTCCTCGATGACGCACTGACTTTCTTGGGTTATCCTGGGTGACTAACCCTCCGGGGTTAAAAATCCGAACGAAATCTTATCTTATCTTATCTCTGAAGGAGGGGTG